CACACACACACACACACACACACACTTGTGCCCGCAACGCACACACACACACACACACACACACACACACACACGTGTACACCCAACGCACACACACACGTGCACACGCAGCACACACATGCAAAGAAATACATAGATAAACACACACTTACATTCACATTATTAAATTTACCAGCTCACTTAATTATTCACCCATGCACACACAAACACATATACAAATACACACACATAAACACACACACACGTACACACAAACACACACAAACAAACACTCATGCATACAAACACACACACAGTTTAAGCGTTCACAGAGACATAATAAAACCCAGAAATTTGCCTCCATGGCGACCACTAAAATCCTGCCCAAATAATTGCAGTTTAAGTGATAAAATGTAAGAAACCGACACATTAGCATAGCCAGCAGAGCTCTCAGTCTGTGAGGCCGAACATTACAAAATACCGGACCTTTTCCCGAATTTCCCCCGAGGCACCATGTTTGCCCGCCGTAATCAGTGTTATTGATGTACCTACGGAATTGCAAATTTCAAATAATCAATCGCGATTTCACTTTTCATGAGCTTAATGAATTTGTAAAGAGAGCGTATCCTAGCGACCAGACCTGGTGTAATCGTGGTGAAACTGAGCTATTCTGTCTCCATTCGGAACGCGATGCATCTATTTGATTGGAGCATGGATTCCTCTGCAAAAGCGAGATGCACTCACTCCAGTTTCAGGCATTGCAGCAGCGCGCGGCAGACGAGGTAAAAAATAAAGCAAACAAAAATTTCATCTAAAAAAAGTTAGCAATTGCTGAACAATACGGATTTTTATCCGGGTATTGTCGTTTTTTTCCAAGGGTTTCATCAGACCCTCGTCACATAAACTGTCTGTTAATCGCCTCCACTGTCTGTCTGGCCCCGCGAATTCCACTGTGGCATTTAACATCACAGTTCAAACATGAAACCTAGATCGACGTAGGCTCCAATCTCTCTTGAACTTTTCGTTTTTAAATGGGACCGATACAAAATATCAATTAAACTTTGTTCTGGTCTATGTATAAACTTAGTCCTAAAGTATGATATTATTGCTTCTGAAAGTTTTTAAGTTTTCCTTTTTACCCCTTCTCTCTCTCTCTCTCTCTCTCTCTCTCTCTCTCTCTCTCTCTCTCTCTCTCTCTCTCTCTTTCTCTCTCTCTCTCACTTACTCGCACACTTTCTTTCAATTTTTTTTCTCTGTAGCAGTGGCCTCTCATTATTTGTTCCTCCCCCTTTTTTCTCACACTCGCTTACTCGTTCAATCACTCCTCCTCCTCCTCCTCCTCATTTTCCCCCTTCTCCACCACCACTCTTTCTCCTCTTCCTCCTCCATTTCCTCCCACCTTCTCCTTCTCCTTCTCCACCATCACCACCTCCACCACCTCTCTCACCTCCTTCTTTCTCCACCTTCTCCTCCTCCACCACCTCTCTCACCGTCCTGTTTCTCCTCCTCCTCCTCCATTTCCTCCCTCCTTCTCCTCCACCACCATCACAACCTCCTCCACCGCCTGTTTTAGAACTACACAAAATTCCCCAAGTTAACAACCGTCGCTGTGGACCCAGTCCGGCGTGAGGCCATGCGAGCAGACCGTGGTGACTCACCTCGTAGCAGTCCCTGTTGTAACCCCGCCGGTAATTATTCGTGTCTCTGCATGCGTTGTCGTCTTGTCGTTTCTCTTCGGGAAGGTACTGGAGAAAAAAAAGTCGAACAAAATTAAGAGAACTGAAAAGAAAAAATAGAGACGAAAATGGAATAGAAAAAAGACAAAAAAAAGATTAAAAGAATTGGAGAAAAAAAAAATAAAAAAAATAAAAACTAAATTTAAAAAGACATTAAAGAATTGAAATTTGAACAGCGTTCGCAACTGTTCTTCGATTTCATTCATTTCTGTGACAAAGCCTGAGTAAAAACAACTCAATTGTCAGTGCCAACCCAATCTGAGTAGAATCCACTATAACTGCAGAAAAGCCGAGTTATTTGATAAAAAAGTAACAAGCTCCCCAACACGGGAATCAAACTCTGAACTTTAACTGAATTTGAGTTTGACGCAGACACGAATGTTTTCTGACAGCGACGTCATCTAACGCCTATCAGAAGTCAGAACAAATATGGAGCCGCTACTTAATGACCTTCATCTACTTCCGCTTCCTCCAAGCTTTTACCCCAAAAGAGCCCAAGTTATTGAACGTGTTTTGACAACAGCAAGGTGCAGGCTCAAGCACACTGATGGGGCTCCAGCTTGCAACATTTCCCGTCCACATTTCATCCTTCATGTTCTCTCTCTCTCTCTCTCTCTCTCTCTCTCTCTCTCTCTCTCTCT